TTTGTGTGTTTGGTCTTGGTAATATATATTAAGATATGTAGAATTCTGCCTTGATGGTGACCTTTATTTGTTTTAAATAGAAAGTAGAGGGCCGAGTCTCATCAGATGAAGATTTAAAACTGACAGAGCTCCTACGATACTACATGTTAAACATAGAGGCTGCAAAGGTAAGGTGGTGTTGTTGTTTAATCTATTAACAGTGTTAGTTCATCTGGTGGTGACCAGAAGTATAATGCTAAAGATGTTTAAAAAAAAAAAAAATTAAAAAGGATTAAAAGGAAGTTGCTTTATACTGCAGAGTATGACAGGACTTTATCAAGCTTTTGTGTGATGTGCCCTTTGTGTGTGTGTGGTGAAGGCCAGAGGACAGCCTCAGGTATTCCTCAGATGCCATGTTTTTTTAATATATATTTGTTTTATTGTTTTTATTTTATCTGTATGAATGTATTGTCTGCATGTGTGTGAGTACGCCCATGCTGTGCAGTGCTGTGGAAATCAGAAGAGGGTGTCGGATTCCCCTGGAACTGGAGTTAAAGATGGTCCATAGCCACCGTGTGGGTGCTGGGAATCGAACCCGGCTCCTCTGCAAGAGCATTCAGTGCTCTTAACCTGCTGGGCCATCTCTCCAGCCCCATCAGATGCCGTATTTGATTGAGACATTAATCGAACATTCACTGGCTTTTAATTTCCCACACAGGCTAAGTTAATTGACTACTGGGCCCCTGAGATTCCCCCCTGTCTCCCCAGTGCCGGAGTCATAGTCATGCAGGACTGTGCCTGGCATTTTATTTTTTACATTCTTTCTGAGGCTCCAGCTCAGGTCCCTGTGCTTAAAGGGTATGCAGGAAAATTGGAGAAATTTAGTCTTTTTTGAGACAGCATCTCATCTATCACAGCTGGACTTTAAAAATTGGCCAGCGGTGGCCTTTAACTTGTGATCCTCCTGCCTCTGCCTTGTAAGTGCTTGGTTTACACGTGTGTGTTACCCAGTCCAGATATAAGGCGCTCTAGATTGAACCCAGGGCTTTATGCATGTTAATCAACCATTATTTTAGGTCAGGTGGGCCCAGGTGTTCCTATAGGCCATGATTCACTGACATTTTAGCAGCATTCTTTTTTAACGTACTCAGCAGTAAATGGACACATGTTTGTGCTGTGCTTAGTTTTCTGAGACAGACGATCACTGAGGCAACTAGAAGAAAAAGTCTTGGTTTGATCTGGGGTTTTTCACCTGCTCTTACAAAGTTATAAACATTTTCTTCAAAAATACAAGGAAGCGAGCAACCTTGTTTGGGATTAGGGTTTTTGTGCCTTGGGGATTCTGGGCCTCAAACATAGACCCTTGAGTTAGGTTAGCCAAGCCCTATAGTAGTATGCAGGGCAGGTGAAGAAATAGGCTAGAGTCTTGGCTTTGACTGTTTCAAGGTGTGGGCACTGGATACTCAGGTTATTTTCTAGACTGGTTCAACAAATACCTGATTTGATTATGGTACTGTTATGCTAATGATACTGTTTTTCTCTGGAGATTTGTGACTGTTAATTTTCTTCAGGATCTCTTATACAGACGTACCAAAGCCCTTATTGACTATGAGAATTCAAACAAAGCTTTGGACAAGGCCCGGTTAAAAAGCAAAGATGTCAAGTTGGCTGAGGCACATCAACAGGAATGCTGCCAGAAGTTTGAACAGCTTTCTGAATCTGCAAAAGAAGGTTAAGCATTGTTTCTCTGCTCTTTAACATTTCATTTGGAAATCAATAGTACAAATTATGCAGAAGCACCCATAGGGTGGGAATGTAATCAGTGGCAAACTGTCTTCCTGGGATCTGTGAGGCCCTGGTTGTCCCCAACACCACAAAAAGATAAACTAAATATTAAATCCCATCTATCTGTTAGAACTGGATGTAGAAGGTTCAAGAGGGTCACTGAGATATATTATTGGTGAATAAGAGTCATTGATGTTATGGACAGACAACAACATGGCAGGGCTCTGAGGAGAGTTTGGTCTTTATTTCTTTAATACTTTCCGAGGATGTGGGTGGTTTCTTGCAGAGCCAGGCTATATAAGTCCTAAGCAGGGAATATAAGTTTAGGGAGCAGGAAATGATGTCAACATCCCTTTTGATATTTAAGAGATAACTTTGATAGGAAATTAGCTCACTTCCTGGGTGAGGGCTCCTAGTGCCGGCATGTCTCTTAGGGGCTCACAGTGTCTCAGTAGGGTGGATGCCTTTGTATCTGAGAAAAGAGGATACTGCACAGACTATAGCCTGAGCAGAGACTGGATTCTTGAACCTGGAGCTGGGCATGGTGGCGCAAGCCTTTAAGTCCCAGCACTTGGGAGATAGAGACAGGCGGATTTCTGAGTTCCAGGCCAGCTGGGACTACAGGGAGACCCTGTCTCAAAAAGATTAAAAAAAAAAAAAAGTTTGAGAGCCTCTTCCCAATCCAATCACCCAGTTGTCAACACTTTGCCTTCACCTTCATGAGGTCTGGTTTCTTGAGAGCCCTCAAGCCTTGCATTTCCAATCTCATTCTGAGTTTCCTTTGCTCTGTTTTTCCAGTCACTGACTTTCAAACTGAACTATTTTTACAAATAGAATGTTCTTTTCTGGTCTGTTTCTTTACATGTAAATCCCACTCCAACCCCCTACCCCCACCTCCCAACAGAAAGAAAAGTTTCTTTAGCACACTGTAAAAGCAACAGTCACAAGAATACTGCTCACATTCCTCCGTCTTTAGTTAGGCATTCCTGACAGTGCTCTATCATAACGTTGGTATTGAAACAGTTTCCCTGCATAGCCCAGACAGGTCTCTCTCATATTTGTTGGCACCCTCCTGCCTTTCCAGTGTTGATGTGTCTACCACACTCAGTGCATCTTATGCTTTGTATTCTAACCTTGCAGCTGACCATTTCTTAGGGAATATGAGTTTGGTTCAGTTTTGGGTTTTGCCTGGTGCTGGCTATAGAAACCCAAGGCCTCATACTTCTAGGCAAGTGTTCTACTGTGGTACTACACTTCCAGCCCTGTAGATCGACTTTATTATGAGGTATAGTGTATGTACTGTTTTTATTATTTATCGTGAATGATATAGGTAGTTGTTTCCTAGGAGGATTTTATGTATCTTCCCTAAGCTTCCCTGGGCACGCAACAAAACCAGTGCAAATATTAGAATGTATCCCTTCAAACATATACATGTTATTATAATGGAACAGTGGACCTGATTTCATCCCTCACCCCTCAAGGGCCCAAAAGAAATAGTTGAACATTATCCTACTACTCAGGTAGACAAAAGAGGATTGCCCCAAGTTTTGGTTAAGTCTGGGGATGTCTTCCTAGGGAAAGAGATTAAGTGGTGCGACTCATACGGGCAGTGATAAGCACATTGCAGTGAGTGCCAGGTAGTATTTAGTATGTGTCCACTGACAGTGTAAGAAAGTGCTGGATGGAGGTCATTTGTAAAAGGGTATTTGGAAGCTATAGTGAGTGGGAAAATTGAACTTACTTGATAATTTTAACTCTTTATTCCCATAGAACTGATTAATTTCAAACGGAAGAGAGTGGCAGCGTTTAGAAAGAACCTAATTGAAATGTCTGAGCTGGAAATAAAGCATGCCAGAGTAAGTTTTCTTCTGATTAAGCCATCAGCATTTTAGGGGCTTGCTTTTTTGTTTGGTCTTTTTGAGACAGGGTCTCCCTGTATCCCCAGCTGGCCTGGAACTTGCTATGTAGACCAGGCTGGCCTCAAACTCACAGATATCTACCTGCCTCTGCCTACCGAGTGCTGGGACTAAGGGCTTTCGCCACCATGCCTGACTTAAGAGTTTTAGTTGATTTCCCCCTACCCCTGCCCCCCAGTCATTGGTTGCCTTGCAGTTTTGATTCCTTATGGGGTTCACTCATGGGAGATTTTGTTACTGAAATACTTCTTTAATTTAAAAAGAGCTAAAGTCAATTGTCCTATGATGTATATTTAGTGACTAGCTTACCTCAGTAAAGAAACAGAAGAGCAGTGTGCTCAATACGGGATATGTATTAGATTTGTAGGTTAAGAATATTGGATGTGGGGCTGGAGAGATGGTTCAGCAGTTAAGAGCTCTGACTGCTCTTGCAGAGGACCCTAGTTCAATTCCCAGCACCCATGTGGCGGCTATGAACCACTTTTAACTCCAGTTCCAGGGGAATCCGAAGTGGCATTGCACAGCAGTGCACTCACATACATGCAGGCAATACACTTGTACATGTAAAATAAAAACAATAAAATATTTTTAAAAAAAAAGAATATTGTATGCCTATACTTAAATCACAATCAGTTGGGGTGAGGCTCAGTGCTATAACACTGCCATGGCAATCATGATGATGTGGATTTTATCCCCAGTATCCAAATAATGTGTATGTGCATCTCCATCCATATCCTCAAGGCAATTCCTGGTCCTTTTGGAATACTGTCTAGTCTGGGGCCACTGGGCTAGGCCTGTTCAACCTCGGCTGCAGTGTGGGGAACCTTAGTGATGGAAACTTAGAATTTGAATGTTCTTAGAAATACTGTTTTGAACACCACTTAGATAATATTTTCTTGCTTGTTAATTGGGTTCAGCTAACCTGTCGTGTAAGGTTTGAGTGACATCATTTTACATGATTCATAACTATAGCGTGTTCAGGATGTGATAAGTTTTCTAAATGTCTCTTTACAGTACAAACTGCATGTAGCAATCGTTGAAGAATCATTAGAAATAATTGTACTCATAACTAATTTTCAGCAAATTTTTATCCAGTCTTTCTCAATTTTCGGCTTTCTAAAACAAGGTGTTTAAGCTGAACTAGTGTGATTGTGGAGGAGGCTTCTTAGCCTGTTGTTTTCCTAGGTAGCAGTCCTAGACTAGCTGCCCTGAGGAAGAGAATGAGTTTGTGATTGCCACTTAATTCAGAGTTAGTGAAGGGAAGTACCAGCCTAGTTTGACTGCTTCAGCATTCATGAGAAAAGCTATGTCCTTGGGTTTATTTCATTTGTTTTTTTGTTTTTGTTTTTTTTTTCCAGAACAATGTCTCCCTCTTGCAGAGCTGCATTGATTTATTCAAGAACAACTAGTCTGCCTTCACTCTGAAGGACTCCAGTGTGAAAGCTAGCATCACTTGCACTTAAATCGTTACTGAAGAAGACAAATAGACATTGACTCTAGTTTAAAATCATGTGACTATCTTGATTTCTATAAATCTTAACATTTAACCATGTTGGTTTAAAAGTATTTTCATTGCATGTAACTTAGACATAACTGATCTGTTCCTTATGCATTTAATACCTCAAAGTAGGCAGAATCTAAATGCTGGATTCTCCTATAGTTTGTTGTGAGTTAATAAAGGGTGCAGGAGATGTGTGCCTTCTGGAGATGAGAAGCAGTCACCTGGCCCATGTCTGTCTCCAGTTCATGTGCCTGTGCCAATTATAAATAATAACAATTTCTTGTTAGCAGGGGGCAGACATTCCATTCTTTCATTAGGTTCTCTTTCCCTGTTACCGTCGAGGTTCTTTGGTCAGTTGGATTGCTTGTACAGTAGCAGGGACAGGAAGATCTCCTTATCATGTACCCTGTGCAGTTCCTTTTTATAATTGGGACATAAATACTTGAGGAAAAGGAGAATCTATGGTTATGCATAGAAAAATATAACCTCTCTAGACTGGCCAGATCTAAAAATGAGAAATAAGCTACAGTTGCTCCCCAATGATGGGACATGAGTGTCCAAGCTTTTGATTTTTCTTATAAAATATGTAATAAAATAATAATTCATGTTACTATATGGAGTGCTTTTGTGGGAAACATGGATTAATCATGGTGCGCTTAGGAATGCAGTTCAGCTAAACTAGTCTGGCACGGGGGAAAGTCTTCATTGTATGCCCAAATCCTGTAAGCTTGCTCTCTGGTTTCAGCCTTCTTCCTTTCTCTGAGGATTGAAGTCTGCCTCATGTAAGCTGCAGCTGCCATACCATTTTAGCCCTTCTTTGTCATCGGTAACTCATAAAGATGTTTCAAAATGGAAAGCTTTTCCCCACAACTAGCAACTTTTGTTGACAGCTGGTGGCTTAAAAGATTAAACTGGTATTAATGTTTTCCTCTGTAGCACAAGTGGATGGGAAACTAAATTTAAGCCTAGCTATGAGAATTAATTTCTGTTTGCATCTCCTTGACTTGTCACTCTGTGCTGTTGTTCATAGTAGCGTGCACAGTTCTGCACTTGGGTGAGTGCTGGGCCACAGCTTGAGTGCCCATGTCCTCAGACCTATCTTGAGTATTTTGGCCTCAGTTTCCTCAGACTAAATGAAATGAATATCTGGGTGTAAGATGCTGAGTCCTGGCTCTCCTGCCTCTAAGCTGGAGATGTGTGTCTCTCAGTTTAAACCTCATGATAAAGCCTGTGATACAGTCTTAGGTCTCCTGCATGGTTGGAAGAGTGCTTATTTGTGCAGTGCCTTTTGGTCCCCTCCACGTCTGAATTGAGTGGGATCCTTGAGTAGACCTGAGACACATATAATCTCCCTCTGTTACCTACCCATGGCTGCCGTGGATGGGTATAAAAACAGTGTACTATTTGTGCTTGGGAGCTAGGTAAACTGGCAGGAGAGGCCAGCAACAACTTGAAACAAGGCAAGAAGGGGACTTAATGTTGAGTGTCCCAAGATCAGGAAAGCTGATTTCACAGAGTAGGGAGAACTCTTAAGTGGATACTGCTCTTGAGCCTTCTGAGAGTACAGATGGGCTTAGGTAGGCCACATCTTCAAACTGCTCCCTCATTGTGGGAATTGTATGTGGGACCTTTTGGCATATGAAAATTTTTATTTTTGTGAGGGCAAGCAGTCTACCAACTGATCCACATTGCCAGTCTTGGGCAGGGATGTTTTTATGTTACAGAATTCCCTGGAACTCCTCTCAAAGTGTCTGTAGTAGCAAGGCACAAGGAAGTGAATGTGAAATTCAGTCTAGAGTGCCTGTGACCTAGGGTTACAAGGCTGGGGAAATCACATCATTGCATATAAACCAACCATGCCCAGGTTGCACATTTTCTCTAAACGGCAAGGGAAGGTGTTTAGTACTTTTTTGGTCTTTTTGAAATAACGTTTCACTATAGCCCCAGCTGGCCTGGAACTTGCTGTGTAAACTAGGCTGGCCTTGAACTCACAGTTGAACTCCCGAATACTGGGATTAAAGGCATGCCCCACCACATTCAGCTGTTTGGTACTTGTGTTTTGGGCTGTGCTTTGGAGCTTCATTTGGTGTAGCTTAGGCCCACTCAGCTCTAATATTTCCATTGGAACATGTTTTTGGTATGGAAATAAGTGCCTTGCACCTTCACCTTTATGCCTGTAGGCGGCAGGCAAGGCCAGTTCAGCTACCAGATCAGGACTGGGTAGCCCCAGGGCCTGTAAAGTTCCCCTGATTAGCTCAAGTGCCAGTCACAGGAGGATGGGAATGCTCCACACCTGAGATCTTCAGTAGATGGATAGTGTGTCCTCAGACCTGTGAACTTGATAACTGGTTACTCAAGACAGTTTTGCTCACTGAGGTCTCTCTAGTCCCAAGAGTTCACTGTGTGAGGTAATGGGAATTCTGAGTTAGGCTGTGTGACTTCCTTGGGAGGACCCCAACTGGGGTCAGCTTCATCTCTAACTGGTGTACCTCAGTGTTGTACATACATGGTTCTTGTTTTTTGTTTTTGTTTTTTTTTTGTCTTTTTGAGACAGGGTCTCCCTGTAGTCCCAGCTGTCCTGGAACTCACTGTGTAGACCAGGCTGGCCTTGAACGCACAGAGATCCGCCTGCCTCTGCCTCCTGAGAGCTGGGATTAAAGGCATGCGCCACCATGCCTGGTTTGTTTTTGTTTTTTACTTTTAACCTTAATGGTCAGCTAAAAAAGGTATGAACATTTGTGATTCAAACAATACAGAAATGAACAAACTTGAATGTGAAAGACCTGTTTTACCTTGCATAAATAACAAATATTTCCAGGTTTCTTTTTCATTTTAAGCACATGTACAATCTAGAGGGAAATGGTCCACAGTGCCAGCATTGGGGGTAGTTTCTGTAGGCTCCCAACTGTCACCTCCATTAAAGGAGGTAGTGGGGATTAAAACCCAGAGTGTATGAGCCAAGTGCATGCCCTGCTGCTGGGCTCTACCTCTCTTGAAGCAGTTCCCATGAGATGTCTAATGGGCCTGGAATAATCTTTTCACTGCTCTGCTTATACCAGGTGAGAGAGTTCTCTGCAGACAGTCCAAAATGTTGTGGTTTCTCCCAGCCTCTTTCCTCCCTTCTGCAGCCTCGAGTCAGTTGTAGGCAACTCTCGAGTCATCCCCTTCTAGCTGTAGGTTCTAGGGATTAAACTCAACCTTTTTATCAGGCTTGACCAGCCAAGTGCTCTCACAGGCTGAGCCACCCTGCCTGCTCTCAAAAAGTTTGTTAAATTGGTCCTGTAATAAAACGTTCAGGAAGAGAAGAAACTAACCCTACAGGCAACCATTTTTATTTCTGATGGTTGATTTCCACCTCTTGCCCACTTAAGTAATGAAACAAAGCACCTATTGGCTGGGGGATCTGTAGTATCAAAAGTAGGGGGGACCTTCTGGGCTGCCACATAACATGCCTTGAGAATAATGTGGCTCGTGTTAGGAACTGTTGGCTATGCAACCTGTTTTTCAGCTACTAAGTTTCAGGCTCTTTCCTGTTCAGGTGGAATTTGTAAGTGGACTGGGGCTTGTGTGTTTGCTGTTTGCCTTGGTTCCTTCAAATGTGAAAAACAGTGGAGGAAAAAGGAAAAGACCTTTGCTCCTGATGAATAACCTAACAAGGCCAAGTCCAAAGCACAGCAAACACAAACTTGGTGGGTGTTAGGCTGTATGGCAGTTATTTCTGATCCAGGTCCAGTGCTCCTGGTAGCTGCATAGTTCATGTTAGGTTCTAGTTCCTAGGCCAGGCATGGTGGCTCACACTTTTAATCCCAGCACTCTGGAGACAGAGGTAGGTGGATCTCTGAGTTCAAGGCTAGCCTGGTCTACATAGTGAGTTCCAGGCCAGCTGGGGCTACAGCTACCTGTCTCAAAAGGACCAAAAATTAATTAACTAATTAATTAATTACCAGCCAAATGTGAGGCAAATTGTTAATGGTACCCTAGTCAGCTTCATTGACCTCAGGTTAAAAGACCCCCCCCCCCCCAAAGTCCTATTTGCCTTGCCCTGGCCAGCTCAGGGAGTGTTATGCAAAGCAGTTGAGTGCTTTGCCATAGGGTGGGAAATTAAAACTAGAGCCAGCATTTTGAGTCCAGCTGGAGCCAGCTGCCTCCTACCAAGACTTCAGAGCACCTTGTATTTGTTAACTGTATCAGGATCCTGGCTGGGAGGTGAGTGGCTAAGCAGAAAATCTGCCAAGATTACCTGGAAAGAAAGCATCATAAAGAGAAGGGGAAGGAGCCAGTGGGCTGCAAGCAGGCCGTGTGAAGCCCACACCGATGGCAAAGCTGATTTTGGCCTGCTTTGTAAATGCCTGAGAAGGATCCTGTCTGTGACTACCCAGGACAAACACTAATTTCCGAAAGGTCTTGCACCATGTTTGTTTAAAGTCTGCTTGGTGTCTGTAACACCTTGTGACAGTGTGGAAAGCACTGTTATCTGGGAGTCCCCAAGAGGAATGAGAGATGAGGCTCTTTACTATTAGGAAGGGCCCTTGTTGGGGTGAGCTGGGGAAAGTGTGGCCTGGGAACTAGAATTGTCAGCCACTCCATCACCAAGGACTTGGCTTAGGTCTGATTGTAACCTCGCCTAGGGATGGGCTAGGCCCCATAGGCCCCACTCACACAGCAGCTAAAGGGGTCTCTAGAATGCCAGTGGCAAACATTTGGGTCCAGAACTCAAATTCGTCCAACACACTTGCCTTCCAGTGGTCCATCTTCCAAAGGCCTCTGCAAGACTTCCAATTTTGTGTGCCTTTCTGTAACGTGATTGCTCTCTGCAAAAGGAATTCAGTTCTCTAGGGTCTAGGACTCTAATGACATGGGTGCAAGCTGTGAAGGGACGCTGGGGGTGACCTCTAAGCGTAGGGCACAGGAAATCTTGCTTTTGGGTTGCTTACTCTTGGGACCTAGCTGCAGTTAAGTGAGCAGCCAACATTTGGACCTCTCTCCACTAAGTCCAGCCTTTAAGTGAGTGTTTGGCTCCAGATCATTGGAGTCCCATGGAACTTTGTGAGATGGGAAGCTAGGGTTTAGGTAAAGCAACATCCTGTTAGGTCTGCACTTCAGAAAATTAAGAGTATTAAAGTGTAATATATTGCATAGTAGAGACATATTAAGAATTGCTTAATACGAGCATTTTGCATGCAAGTGTACTGTTGAGTGTGCAATGCCCTCAAGGTCAGAAGAGGGCGTCAGATCTCCTGGAACTGGAGTTAGCTGCCATGTGGTGCTGGGAACCCAACTTGGGTTTCTTTAAGAATAGCCAGTGCTGTTAACCACTGTCATCTCTTCAGCACTGAAATTCAAATTTCCAGTGGGCTTGATGCATTGTTACTTCGAGTTTGGCGATTCTGTATTGAGGACTTGAAATGTGGCTAGTGCAGTCGAGGAATTGAAGTTTCAATTTCACTTTTAGTTTAGTTATATTTAAATACTTTGTGGGAGGGGTTCACATGCCACCATGAACATGTGGAAGTCAAAGAACAGCTTTTGGGGGTGGTTCTACCATGTGGGTTCAAGGGATCGAGCTCAGAGCTCAGGTCGTCAGGCTTGGTGGCGAGCACCTTCACCCACTGA